GAGGAGATCAACCACAGGCAGTACGAGATCCAGTTGCAGCACTGGGAGGCGCGCGCTGGGGAAGGAACCTCCCGCCAGAAGCTGATGGGAACGGCGCTCTACCCCGCCCCTCCTGGAAGCTTCTGCACTGTGGATGGGTATCAGAGGGGTGCCCTTGCTTCCTCCTCCCCCCTCTCTTCCCTCCCCCATCCTCCCTCACCTCATCCTTTCCTCCCCTTCCTCCCTCTCCTCTTCTCCCCCCCCCCGTCCTTCCCCGTCCTCCCTCCCCCATCCTTCTTCCCCCTTGCTCCCTTCCTCTGCGTCCTTATGCCTCATTAATATATACTTACGTGTACTCTGCCGCCTAGCTGGCCGGTAGCCGCTTGATCCGGGACCTCCCAGCTTACTTGTGAAAAAACAAAGTCGTCAGTTTCGTTTCCATCCTGGACACTCTGTCGTCTGGGTTGCAAGATGCGGGGGCGTGGCTGGGATGGCCGTGATGGACGGAATGGCCGTGATGTCGCTTTCGACTCGGCACCGCGCTTATTGTCCAAGAGAGCGGGGCTCCCGCTTGGGCGCGGTGTTCATATTTCGCACACAATTTTCGTCGACGCGCGAACGGACGAATATGTCGCTCGCGTTTCGGCGCCGCGTCACTCTTCCGCCTCTGCGTGTGCGTGCTGGCACGTACTATGCGTTGGCGCTTGTCCGGCCTCTTCGGGAGTGTAGGGCTTCTGCCAACTTTGCCTGGTTCCTGCTGTTCGTCGTCGTAGTCGTCGTCGCTGTCTCTCCTCCCTCGTCCGCGAGCTCTGTACGCTCATGAATCTCGAGGATCCAAAGTGCATCCCAGGCTCCAGCCCGAGCGCCGTGCTCTCCTTAGAGGGCCGTCCTTCTGGAAGTCCGTGAGCGCCTCGCCTCGCCTCGCTCCCTTCGTTCCCTTCTCCCTCCCTCCTCCTCTCTCCCGCTCCCCCCCCTCCCCCTCCACCCCTCCGCATCCCTCTTCGCCTTGCCTTCCCCTTGCTCGGAGGGCACCAACTATACACCAACACCGATCCTGGCCCAGGATCACCCTGGGCCCAGGATCGGTGTATATGCCTTCTTGCGCAAGGCAGGAGGGCGTATACACCGATCCTGGGCCCAGGGTGGTCCTGGCCAGGATCGGTGTTGGTGTATAGTTGGTGCCTTCCTACTTGCCTCCCTGTTTTACTACTCAACATGAGTACTGCTCTCCCCTCTTCCCTGACACTGTGCCGTTTTGCGTCCGCGTTTCCCGCGTCGTGTTTCTCACGCGCACGATTGCATCATCCCATGCCCCAGAATTTGGCGGCGAGCGAGGGGGGAAGTCAGAAGGAGGAGGCCTTCTCAGAAGGTTTCGAAGTCCCCCAGCCTTCTAAGACGTTTTTTAAGTCTTCCCCAAAACACATTAGCCTGTCGAAGGACCCAACCATATGCAGCTGCGAGTAACGTAGGATAGCACCTTCTCATCATGGGCAGCGCGCCGCGAGAGGGATGGAGCATGGGGCAACGCGGATGGAAACCCCGAAACGTGTGCGGGGTGTGCCGAAGTGGGCTGGGAGACGCATGCGGGCGCTGCCACTGGGGCCTTCGGCGGAGCTCCCTATGGGCCGCGAAACATGTGACGGGTGTGTCAACATTGGCAGCAGAAGGCACTCGAACCCTGCCACTGGGGCCTTCGGTGGAGCTCTATATGGGGCCGCGATGCGTGTGAGGGGTGCCGCCATGCGAACCCTGCCGCTGAGGCCTGCAGTGGAGCTCCCTATGGGGCCACGACGCGTGCGGGGTGTATGCTGAAATGAGGCGGGGCCGCCATGCGAACCCTGCAACTGAGGCCTTCGGTGGAGCTCTCTATGGTGCCACGAAGCGTGTGAGGGGTGTGCCGAAATGGGGCGCGGCCGCCATGCGACCTTTGCCACCGAGGCCTTCGGTGGAGCGCCCCGTGGGGCCACGGAGCGTGTGAGGGGTGTGCCGAAATGGGTGGGGAGCCGCATGCGAACCTTGCCACCGGGGCCTTCGGTGGAGCTCCCCACGGGGCCACGAACCGTGTGAGGGGCGTGCCCCGATAGACACGCGCAGGGCAGAGGTACGGAGGCGGGGGAGGGAGGGAGGAGGTACGGAGGAGGAGGAGGAGGAGGAGGAGGAGGAGGAGGAGGAGGAGGAGGAGGAGGAGGAGGAGGAGGGGAGGAGGGGGGAGGCGGAGGAGGAGGAGGTACGGAGGCGGAGCAGGGAGGGAGGGGGAAAAACGCGGGGCGCTGTCTCTTCAAAACGAGGACCCAACACCAGGATGGCTGGGACAGACTGCTCAGGGTGCGCGAGGGCTTCTGAGAAGTCCCGCCGCCTTTGAGAAGGCCTTCTCCTTCGCGGCTCCCCCCCTCGCTCGCCGCCGATGTGCCTCTCTTCCAAGGCCGGGCGTGAGGTCCTCAGGGCCCCGGGTCGGTGGCCCAGGGCCCGCACGGCCTCCCGCACGGCCTCCCGCACGGTCTCCCGTGTGGTCTCCCGTGTGGCCTCCCGTCTGGTTTCCCGTACGGCATCCCGCACGGTCTCTTCGATGGTCTCCAGTATTATTAGTATTTATTATTATTATTATTAGTATTATTATTAGTATTATTATTATTAGTATTATTATTATTATAACTATTAGTATTATGCTTATTATTGCTACTAGTATTATCATTATTTTATTATTATTATTAGTATTATTAGTATTATTACTACTATTATTATTATTATCAGTATTATTATTGTTGTTATGGTTGGTATTACTATTAGTACTATTATTAGTGTTATTATTACTAGAATGATTTCCCGTCTGGTCTCCTGCATGGTCTCCCGTCTGGTTGCCCGGGCGGTCTCCCGTACGGTCTCCCGTGTGGTCTCCTGTATGGTCTCCAGTATGGCCTCCACTTGCAGGTCTCCCGTGCGGTCTCCCGTATGGTCTTCCGTACGTTCTCCCTGATGATTTCTGGGATGGGTTTTTTTTCCCGGAAAGGGCATGAGCCCAGGGTTCTCTTTTAGTTGGTAAACCTGTCCCCCGGTGCCAACTTGAGGGAGGCCGGCGAATTTTTTCCCTGATAAATAACGAGGTCGAAGGAGGCCGGCGAATTAAAATTTGAGGATGTCTCGAGCGAAACGCTTGTTTTTGAAATCCCGATCGATAAATCACAGGGTGCGGGCCACTTTTTCGTGTGTTGAGGATGTCTCGAGCGAAACGCTTGCTCCGCAGAGTTTGCCGAGGATGTCTCGAGCGAAACGCTTGTTTTGCAGAGCCGACCGCGACGCGGAAAAGCGCCCCGCGCGAAGGAATTTCGATGATGTCTCGACTAATTTGTTTGTTTTTGTACGATTTCCTGGAATTTTGGCAGGATGTCTCGAGCGAAATGCACGACCCCACCCTAGCACGACCATACCCCAGCACGACCACACCCCAGCACGACCAGACCCCAGCACGACCCCACCCCAGCACGACCCCACCCCAGCACGACCACACCCCAGCACGACCCCACCCCAGCACGACCCTACCCCAGCAAGACCACACCCCAGCACGACCACACCCCAGCACGACCTCACCACAGCACGACCACACCCCAGCACGACCACGCCCCAGCACGACCACGCCCCAGCACGACCACGCCCCAGCACGACCACCCAGCACGACCACACCCCCGCACGACCACCCCCAGCACGACCACCCCCCAGCACGACCACACCCCAGCACGACCACTCCCCAGCACGACCACACCCCAGCACGACCACACCCCAGCACGACCACACCCAGTCGCACCCCCGTGGAATGTTTCGTGGCGTGTCTGGTTGAGTGGTTGCCTGTTCGTGGGGTGTCTCGTGGAATGTTTCACGGGGTGTCTCGTGGAATGTTTCGTGAGGTGTCTCGTGGAATGTTTCGTGAGGTGTCTCGTGGGATGTTTCGCGGGGTGTCTCGTGGGATGTTTCGTGAGATGTCGCCCAGTTGGGTATCGTGAAAACGTGACCATGCTGCACATGTCTTTATCCCTTTCCGGGTTCGTGGGTCCATCATGTTTTCTCTAGCGTCGTGTGGATCATTTGCCGTACTTCTCTCAAAACTATATATATAGCACTTTTACAGGACTCTCCACCACTAAGGGAGCTGTGTAAGGTCTGTTGACGTCAATGGCGCCATGTCTCCTATGTTTTTCCCGGAAAGGGCGTGGGCCCAGGGTTCTCTTTTAGTAGGTAAACCTGTCCCCCGGTGCCAACTTGAGGGAGGCCGGCGAATTTTTTCCCTGATAAATAACGAGGTCGAAGGAGGCCGGCGAATTAAAATTTGAGGATGTCTCGAGCGAAACGCTTGTTTTTCAGAATTTCTTGAGGATGTCTCGAGCGAAACGCTGGTTTTGCAGAGTTGAGGATGTCTCGAGCGAAACGCTTGTTTTCAGAATTTGCTGAGGATGTCTCGAGCGAAACGCTTGTTTTGCAGAGCCGACCGCGACGCGGAAAAGCGCCCCGCGCGAAGGAATTTCGATGATGTCTCGACTAATTCGTTTGTTTTTGTACGATTTCCTGGAATTTTGGCAGGATGTCTCGAGCGAAATGCACGACCCCACCCTAGCACGACCATACCCCAGCACGACCACACCCCAGCACGACCAGACCCCAGCACGACCCCACCCCAGCACGACCCCACCCCAGCACGACCATACCCCAGCACGACCACACCCCAGCACGACCCGACCCCAGCACGACCCTACCCCAGCAAGACCACACCCCAGCACGACCACACCCCAGCACGACCTCACCACAGCACGACCACGCCCCAGCACGACCACGCCCCAGCACGACCACGCCCCAGCACGACCACGCCCCAGCACGACCACCCCCCAGCACGACCACCCCCCAGCACGACCACCCCCCAGCACGACCACACCCCAGCACGACCACTCCCCAGCACGACCACACCCCAGCACGACCACACCCCAGCACGACCACACCCCAGCACGACCACACCCCAGCACGACCACACCCCAGCACGACCCGATCGATAAATCACAGGGTGCGGAGCACCCCAGCACGAACCCACCCCAGCACGACCCCACCCCAGCACGACCCCACCCCAGCACGACCACGCCCCAGCATGACCACACCCCAGCACGACCACACCCCAGCACGACCACTCCCCAGCACGACCCCACCCCAGCACGACCCCACCCTAGCACGACCACACCCCAGCACGACCACACCCCAGCACGACCCCACCCCAGCACGATCACACCCCAGCACGACCCCACCCCAGCAAGACCACACCCCAGCACGACCGCACCCCAGCACGACCTTACCACAGCACGACCACACCCCAGCACGACCACCCCAGCACGACCACGCCCCAGCACGACCACGCCCCAGCACGACCACGCCCCAGCACGACCACGCCCCAGCACGACCACCCCCCAGCACGACCACCCCCCCAGCACGACCACCCCCCAGCACGACCACCCCCCAGCACGACCACACCCCAGCACGACCACTCCCCAGCACGACCACACCGCCTTGGTTGAGTGGTTGCCTGTCGTCGTGGAATGTTTCGTGGGGTGTCTCGTGGAATGTTTCGCGGGGTGTCTCGTGAAATGTTTCGTGAGGTGTCTCGTGGAATGTTTCGTGAGGTGTCTCGTGGGCTGTTTCGTGAGGTGTCTCGTGGGATGTTTCGTGAGGTGTTGCCCAGTTGGGTATCATGAAAACGTGTCCATGCTCCACATGTCTATATCCCTTTCCGGGTTCGTGGGTCCATCATGTTTTGTCGATTGCGTCGCTCGTGGTTCTGTTTGGTCCTGCGAAAACGTTGCTCCCGCTGCATCGTTGGCCGCATCTCAGGATCGGCGCTTCACTTCCTTCGTTCAAAGAGGCGCTCTCGTCTCAGCGCCGGCCGCACTTCGAGATCCCAGTTCTTCCTCGTCGTTGTCGTTATCTTCCTTTTCCCTCCTCCGCTTTCCCCCGGTCTCCCCGCTCCTCCTGCTCCACCTGCTCCTGCTGCTGCTGCTTCTCCTTCCTCCGCTTCCTCCTGCTCATCCTCTGGCTCATCCGCTCAGGACACTGTCCATCCGCGGGTACAACAATCCAGTTCATCCGCCAACTCCTTCTCTCTCTCTCTTTTCTCTCTGTCTCTCTCTCTCTCTCTCTCCTTCCAACCTTCCACGCCTTCTTGTCTGATTGCACGTCACACCATGGGATCATTTTGGGGACCAAGGGTCCTCTAGGGTACCTCAGTCGGCGGACAGACAAGAGTCCAGCGCAATGGGAAGGGATGTATGGGATGGGTAGGATGTCAGATATAGTGCGAGCCTATCCAGCTTGCCCCCCCCCCTCTGCCCTCCTCGGCGTCTCAACCGCACTGTCGCACTTCCCCCCCCCTGTCCGGAGTCGAGAGCCCTTGCCCTGCTGGCTCTCCTCCGAAAGACGGAGTCGGGAGGATAGAGGTGATGATGATGAGGATGATGAGGATCAGAAGGAAAGGGATCATGATGATGCTGATGATGCTGATGATGATGATTTTGGTGATGCTGATGGTGGTAGTATGGTGATGAAGATGATGATGGTGATGGTGATGATGTTGATGCTGATGCTGAAGATAATGCTGATGCTGATGCGGATGCTGATGATAATGGGTGATGATGATGATGAGGACGATGGTGATGTTGTTGATGCTGATGCTGATGATGACGACGACGAGGATGAGGCTGCTGATGATGATGATTGTGATGGCGACGGTGATGATGAGGATGATGCTGATGATGATGACCATGCTGATGATGTTGCTGCTGATGCTGCTGATTATGATGCTGATGATACTGACGATGATGCTGCAGGGGATGGTGATGACGATGCTGATGCTGATGATGATGACGATGCTGCTGCTGATGATGATGATGCTGATGATGCTGATTATGATGGTGCTGATGTTGATGATCTGGATAATACTGTTGTTGATGATGATGATGCTGATGACTGTGACGATGCTGATGATGATGTTGATGATGATTATGATTATTATTATGATGATGATGATTATGATTATGATGATCATGATGCTGTTGCTTATGATGATGATGATGATGATGATGATGATGATGATGCTGATGCTGATGATGATGATGATGATGATGATGATGATGATGATGATGATGATGATAATGATGATGATGCTGACGATGATGATGATGATGACGATGATGATGATGATGCTGATGATGCTGATGATGATGCTGATGATGCTGATGATGCTGATGATGCTGATGAGGATGAGGATGAGGATGAGGATGAGGATGAGGATGAGGATGAGGATGATGATGATTATGATGATGATGATGATGATGATGATGATGATGATGATGATGATGATGATGCTGCTGATGCAGATGCTGATGCTGATGCTGATGCTGATGCTGATGCTGATGCTGATGCTGATGCTGCTGCTGATGAGGAGGAGGAGGACGAGGAGGAGGAGGAGGAGAAGGAGGAGGAGGAGGAGGAGGAGGAGTGAGGTGAAGGAGGGTAAGACGCATAATCGAGGTTGTCCGTGGGGCTGATGATGCTGATGCTGATGCTGATGCTTATGATGATGCTTATGATGATGATTATGATGATGATGGGAAGACGATGAGGAAAACGATGAGGAAGACGATGATGAGGAGGATACCTCCTCGCTCTCCGTCTCTCGCTTGCGCCCTCGCTTCTCTGGCTTCCCCCTGGGACGAGGCGGAGAACCGCACGAGCGCGGAGACGGCGAGGGCGTCCGAGGAGCAGCGCCGGGCGCAGCTGGAGCTGGGGGGCGGGCTGGGCCTGAGCCAGCTGAGCAGGCGCGGGGGGGGGGGGTCCGCTCTCTGGGCGCTTCGGTGGGTGCGGCTGCGCCCTCTGGGCTGGCGGGAGCGTCTGCTGGCGCGGTGCCAGGCGGCGCTGCCCCTTGGCGAATTGCCCTGCGCGGGAGGCAGCGCGGAGGCGTTTGCATGCCTGGCTGCGCAACGCATTGCGCAGCTCTCAAAGGTCCCGGACTGAGCGTTTGGGTGGGGTCGAGCGCCGCGGCTGCGCGCGTGCTCGCGTCCGCACGTCCAAAAGGCGGCTGCGCCCTCTGCCGCTCGGTTGGTGCTGCTGCTGCGGTTGACACGAGGACAGCCCCGCCCAGCCCCCGCCCCCAGCCAGGACCCCCACCTCCCGACCTGGTGATCTGGGGCCTTTCGGGCTGGGGACGGGAAGGTCGGGAGTGGGGGGTCCTGGCTGGGAGCGGGGGCTGGGCTGGGCCGTCCTCGCGAGAACTGGCGCCCCAGGTGGCCGTTGGCAACATCGCAGCAGTCCAGCGACGCAGCTTCAAACGCTCACGCATCATGTTTGTCAGCTCCAGTGAACTCCCCCCCCCCCTCCTCCTCCTCCTCCTCCTCCTCCTCCTCCTCCTCCTCCTCCTTGTGGCGTGTACCCGTCACAAGCGCTCACCAGCCCTGCGCGAGGACTTTCTGGTTCCATTCGGTCTCCGACGCGATGCCGACGGGTCTTGCCCCGAATTGCCGGTGCACGGTGGGGCAGTAAGCGGTGCCGACGTCGTGGAAGGCGCAGATCGTATGAGTGCAGGGGCGCCACCACCAAACATGTCACCATGGGCACCCGCGTGGTCCTGGTCTGCGACAGGGTCGCCCTCGGGGTCGTCCACGCCTCAGGCATCGGGAGCGACGGGTGCAGCACCAGCTGCCTGGGCGAAGGCATGACCAGCAGCCACTCGCGAAGCCAGGGCGCTGTTGCCCAGACGTCCGCACAAGCTTTGTACTCCGCTCGAGTGAAGCCTTTCGCCTCCGCCTCGACGCACGGCTACGTAACGGTCGCAGCAGACATTTGCTCTGGTCAGTAGTGGTAGTCTACCCATTTCGCCTTGGGTGGAGCTGCCCGCGTTGCGTCCCTGCTGGCCACCTGGCCCGTCAAGGTACGAATCTCGCACCCCGCAGCCGTAGCAACGGTGGTCCATGCCTTCGACAACAAACTCCGAGCGTCATGGGGGGAGGCGAAATTGCACGTTTGGACTGCTTGATCCGTTCATTGGCCGTTGCGCATGGGCCAATTTATCCGAACCGTAGATATCTTCCTCCCAGCTGTGTGCACATTAGATGTGTTCTCGCTTGCCTTCCGACTGTAAGCCCAACGCGGCGGGTCAGACAGACCCAAGTACAATCCACCTCGACAACTCGAGCAACCTCTTGGCCACACTATTACCCGCGAGCAAATCACTAGTGCGGACAGAAACGGGGGTAATGCTCGAGGACAGGTTCGGGGCGATAGGGACCGATTGCGAGATAACCCTGACTCTTCCACCTGCCTCTGACTGACGACATTCGATAGCCTTTCTGTGCCAGGGTCCGTGCGTTACTACTTTTAGTACCCCGGTTCGCTTTGATGTAGGAGGAGATAACTTGTGGTGGTGGCCAGCTTGACATGCGGGCGACAGCGTGTACGGCAGAACAACGAAGTACCACCGCATCAGCATCGTCAGGTCCACGTAGGCTTCTGTGGCTTTATGAATGATGTTCCCACCTACTGTAGCCTTGATCACCACGAAGACTTGCGAGCACCAGGACGTATCGAAACTGGAGGGCTTTCACGTGTCGGGCCCTGGAAGGCGATACTTGTTCGACACTGGTTTCTATACCTTCTGGGTGCTCGAAATTATCTCTGGAACAGCATAATCGTAGCTGCGAGCAGGCACCGCAGTGGGCGTGGCACCTTCCAGTAAGGCTGAGGCTTACCATGCACTTCCAACCTCGGCGCCCTGCCCACACAACGAAGTCATCCTGATCCGCGTCGGCGAGTCCAATCTCTTGGGCGACGCGGTTGCATTGCTTGCTTGGATCCTCTCCTTCACCGTTCGGATGCCACGGTAGGCGTTGAAATGCCCAAGGAAGAATTTGCTGCTGGGGTCGGGATTCGCATGCGGTTTAACCTGACCCTTGTATTCGGGGAGGCAATTGACGAGCGGCGGCACACTGCTACAGCCGCTGCTTCTTGTTTCGGTGCATGGCTACTGAGCCCGGTCCTCTTTGCCTGCAGCGGCGGCAGCAATTTCGAAGAGGCGCCCGAGCTCGCAGGGGGAGTAGTCTTGTGGAGGACGGTCAATGAACAGGAAGCATGTTGCCAAATAATTTCCAGATGTCTAGAACATGTGTGAACACTATTTTGAGCATGTAAAAAGCAGGGCTCAAACATTTCCACGACCTGTTTGTGACACTTGAAGCACATTTTCCCGGAAAGGGCGGGGGCCCAGGGTTCTCTTTTTCCCGGAAAGGGCGTGGGCCCAGGGTTCTCTTTTAGTTTGTAAACTTAATCCCCCGGTGCCTGCTTGAAGGAGGCCGGCGAATTGCCGGCGAATTTTTTCCCTGATAAATAACGAGGTCGAAGGAGGCCGGCGAATTGCCGGCGAATTAAAATTTGAGGATGTCTCGAGCGAAACGCTTGTTTTTCAGAAAATGGTGAGGATGTCTCGAGCGAAACGCTTGTTTTGTGTTATAGATTGTCCTCTCCTGGGGACCTGAATTCTGAGGACCACCTCCCAGCACGACCACCCCCCCAGCACGACCACCCCCCAGCACGACCACCCCCCAGCACGACCACACCCCAGCACGACCACTCCCCAGCACGACCACACCCCAGCACGACCCCACCCCAGCACGACCCCACCCTAGCACGACCACACCCCAGCACGATCACACCCCAGAACGACCACACCCCAGCACGACCCCACCCAAGCACGACCCCACCCCAGCACGACCACACCCCAGCACGACCACACCCCAGCAGGACCCCACCCCAGCACGACCCCACCCCAGCACGGCCCCACCCCAGCAAGACCACACCCCAGCACGACCACACCCCGACCTCACCACAGCACGACCACTCCCCAGCACGATCACGCCCCAGCACGACCACGCCCCAGCACGACCACTCCCCAGCACGACCACCTCCCAGCACGACCACCCCCCCAGCACGACCACCCCCCAGCACGACCACCCCCCAGCACGACCACACCCCAGCACGACCACACCCCAGCACGACCACACCCCAGCACGACCCCACCCCAGCACGACCCCACCCTAGCACGACCACACCCCAGCACGACCACACTCCAGAACGACCACACCCCAGCACGACCCCACCCAAGCACGACCCCACCCCAGCACGACCACACCCCAGCACGACCACACCCCAGCAGGACCCCACCCCAGCACGACCCCACCCCAGCACGGCCCCACCCCAGCAAGACCACACCCCAGCACGACCACACCCCAGCACGACCTCACCACAGCACGACCACTCCCCAGCACGATCACGCCCCAGCACGACCACGCCCCAGCACGACCACTCCCCAGCACGACCACCTCCCAGCTCGACCACCCCCCCAGCACGACCACCCCCCAGCACGACCACCCCCCCAGCACGACCACACCCCAGCACGACCACACCCCAGCACGACCCCACCCCAGCACGACCACACCCCAGCACGACCACGCCCCAGCACGACCACGCCCCAGCACGACCACCCCCCAGCACGACCACACCCAGCCGACGACCACAACCGGTCGCACCCCCGTGGGAATGTTGGTGGGTCTCGTGGAATGTTTCGTGGGGTGTCTCGTGGAATGTTTCGCGGGGTGTCTCGTGGAACGTTTCGCGAGGTGTCTCGTGGAATGTTTCGCGAGGTGTCTCGTGGGATGTTTCGCGGGGTGTCTCGTGGGATGTTTTGTGAGGTGTCGCCCAGTTGGGTATCGTGAAAACGTGACCATGCTGCGCATGTCTATATCCCTTTCCGGGTTCGTGGGTCCATCATGTTTTCTCCCGGAAAGGGCTTGAGCCCAGGGTTCTCTTTTAGATGGTTTCCCCCCGGGTTTGACGGGAAGAGGGCCGGCGAATTTCTTTTGCGATAAATAACGAGTGGGAAGAGGGCCGGCGAATTAAAATTTGAGGATGTCTCGAGCGAAACGCTTGTTTTTCAGAATTTGTTGAGGATGTCTCGAGCGAAACGCTGGTTTTGCAGAGTTGGGGATGTCTCGAGCGAAACGCTTGGTTTCAGAATTTGTTGAGGATGTCTCGAGCGAAACGCTGGTTTTGCAGAGCCGACCGCGACACGGAAAAGCGCTCCTCGCGCAGGAATTCCGAGGATGTCTCGACTAATTCGTTTGTTTTTGTACGATTTCCTTGAATTTTGGCAGGATGTCTCGAGCGAAATGCACGACCCCACCCTAGCACGACCATACCCCAGCACGACCACACCCCAGCACGACCAGACCCCCGCACGACCCCACCCCAGCACGACCCCACCCCAGCACGACCATACCCCAGCACGACCACACCCCAGCACGACCCGACCCCAGCACGACCCTACCCCAGCAAGACCACACCCCAGCACGACCACACCCCAGCACGACCTCACAACAGCACGACCACGCCCCAGCACGACCACGCCCCAGCACGACCACGCCCCAGCACGACCACGCCCCAGCACGACCACCCCCCCAGCACGACCACCCCCCCAGCACGACCACCCCCAGCACGACCACACCCCAGCACGACCACTCCCAGCCCGACCACACCCCAGCACGACCACACCCCAGCACGACCACACCCCAGCACGACCACACCCAGTCGCACCCCCGTGGAATGTTTCGTGGCGTGTCTGGTTGAGTGGTTGCCTGTTCGTGGGGTGTCTCGTGGACTGTTTCACGGGGTGTCGCGTGGAATGTTTCGTGAGGTGTCTCGTGGAATGTTTCGTGAGGTGTCTCGTGGGATGTTTCGCGGGGTGTCTCGTGGGATGTTTCGTGGGATGTCG